ACGAAGTGACGGTAGTGAAAAAAAATTGCGTTCACTTTACGTTACGATTTTCCTCACTACCGTCACTTCGTGAAAACAAGGACGATATATATTGTCTCGACATTTGATTCTTCGACCTGCATCGCAAGTCACTGAAGTTGATCTATTGACATTGACTGCATCATCATTGTATTCAGCTGTTAACTGATTCATCATCGTTGTCTTCATCACCGTTGTCTTCATCATCGCTGTCTTCACCAGCGTCGTCTTCATCGTCGACTTCATCATCGCTGTCTTCACCAGCGTCGTCTTCATCATTGTTGTCATCATCGTTGTCTTCAACATCGTCTTCATCATCGTGGTATTCACCTAGCGTCGATCATCGTCTGCATATCCTACGCGATCGACAACCAGCTCGTCGACCACTGTTTTCGACTACCTAGCTAGTTTCTACATCTACCTAGAACTTGAAGAAGATCTACTTTGAATTCAACTCCAATGACTCACGTAACGTTAATTATATTGTGATTTATGCTTTGCATTGTTTATCATTGTGAGGCCTTATTTTGACTGACTGAGTGCCTGTTGTTGAGTGCGTACGCTTACTAACACATATTTTACATGTTTATAATTGCACTAGTTCTAGGCCTATGCCTGGTCTACTGATCTAGATCTGCTATAGTCTAGATCCACCGATATATTGTTGTTTTCTCGTGTAGTGCATTCCGTACACATACACAAGTAGAGATTTGTTTAGCGGTTTCTTGAACCACAATATTTCGTGCCTATGTAAGTAAATCTAAACGCTGTCTAGCTTAGATTTGAGTAGTATTTTCTTGACTGTTATTATTCATGCAGTGTGAATGATATTTAACTGACTTGTTTTAGTACTGTCTTAAGTTGTACTGAACAGGACTCCTGATATTTCGAGACTTGTATTCATGCAGCGGTAATCATTAATACCATAGTGACTAAGTTGAGTCTCCTTTACATTAATGTGCTGTTGGAAGTTATCTATGTTTGATTATTAATAGTAACTACCAAGGGCCTAGTGATAGTTTAATTGTCTGTCACTGTTGAGATAGACAGAAGAGGTTTCTGATAATTCTGTAATCATTGTATCTTATGTGAAATTATAGAATATAGAACCAGTTTTTAACCATAATCAATTTGTCTGGATGTGATCATTTATTAAGTGTTTTCTTGTCTGGAGGGATACTGCTTTTTAGTAGTTTAATTAAAAAAGGGAATTATGTGGGATTACTAGTTAACACGCAACATAGTCCATACCCATGTATTTTTCTAAAGACGTTTCAGCTAATTTATAACCCGAGAAAAACAACTTTATTTCCAAAAAATGTCACGCTGCAATTGCAGCTCAGCTCAGCTCGATCAGCCGTTTGTAGTGCAGTGTTCACCCACTGCGATGAACACTGCACTGCGAACGGCTGAGCTGAGCTATCGCCAGTTCTCCCCGTGCCGCGAAATTCAAGTTACGCTAATTATTAAAACAAAACATAGGCGAAGCCGGTGTGTCAGGATCTGCAAGACGATCAATTTTACAGTACCAAACGTCAATATTTCAAGGAAACCAAACATCGGGAAGTAACCAATGCTTATATAATTGAAAGAATGTTTATTTCTTGATTGTAAATTCGATAAAACACTTCATTAAATATCACAAAAATTACAAAATCTACTAACAAAATTACCCATGTTTGTGTACGTTTTTACATTGAAATAATACGTTGTACTTCCGGGTTTAGGAACAGTCCACGGAAATACGTCACATATACTACGTCACGAAGGAGAATATCAACGCTTCCGGGTTCCTCTGCTTACACTTTTGATCTTTCCAAGTCTAATAATAATTTAACAACACATGCAAATTTCTGTCAATCAATATATTTGTATTCCTTATGTCATAAGCATTGCAACAATAGCAAACATGCATATTTTCACCACTTTCTTCCAAATTCACCTTTAAATGTGTGCGAAAACCACACCAAAACCCATGAATGGGACAAAAGGCAAACTCCAAACAATACGCATTTCGGATCGGAAAAGTAGCAAAACAGCATATGTTACTATATCTAGCTCTTGAGACAAGCCCCCAATCTGTTAGGTCGGGACAATCAACTCACATTGGCCCTTCCACAACTCTCATTTACATTAATATATAAAGAAAATCAAGACGATTTGGTTACCTTTGATCCGTTTATTACTCTCAACTCGAGCAACATCTTGGAATTAGCATGTCAATCAACATCCCATTTGCATATTCGTAACAATATTTAAACACAATTGAATAGAGGCCGAAACAGGACTTCCTGTATTCAATCCCACAACCCATTACCTACATGTAATCGTGATACAAAATTATCAAACACGCTACACAGCACCAGCATAGCAGACCATCTTAATGTGGTGTTAAAAGCTTACACTACAAGGCTACACATGTAAAATACAACACTAAAAATAAACATGAAACATCAAAAGGAGCCGGAGAAAATAAACTAAATTATTTTTTTATTTTTATAAAATGAATTTATTGATAAATATATGCTTTTGAACAAATCAAACAATCATACACAAACAATTTAAATAACATCATAGCATCTTAACATAGTTCAAATAAAACATGTTTCGTTTTCTTGAATAACAGTGTTTTCAAAAATGCATAGCTTTTTTGTTTTACAGTTCCTTTCGATCTTTAATCGGTTGTGGATTAGTGTTTTGAAAATACAAAGAATAGAGACTTCATGAAACATGAGTTTGCGATTTTCTGCTTGCATAAATGTTAAATAAACTGCGTATTTTGCATATATGATAAGAAAATTTAAACTTTTAAATATTTTGTTTTCCAAGTTATAACCTTCAATTAAAACGAAATTGTCAAAAGAAAAATTAACATTGTAAAGTTGTCGAATTATGTCTCCAATTTTTAACCAAAACAATCTTGTGTGCTTGCATTTTACAAATAAATGGAGATTGTCGTGTAACTGATCATCATATAAACATAAGGGATTGTTACACAATTTCCATTTGAATAAATTATATCTATTTGGTAATAAGTTATGTAATAACTTTAAATTGAATTCTGATATTTTGTTTTCTTTCATAGCTTGCAAATTAAATGACCATATTACTTTCCAGTCGATTTGTTCAGTACTATTTAATATTTCTTCCCATTTCTCTTCGATTGGAGGTCTAACAATTGAATGAATATACAACGTAGAGTAAAAAAAACTTCGACTTTCGTTTAGTGTTAACATTCATTAAAACATTTTTCATGACACCTTCATTTTCTTCTTGTGTCGCGTCATATACATGTACCTGTCTTGACATATTCTGTTTCCAAACTTTGGGAATCGCATTTATTATGATGTAATATTCTTGAAACAAAGAAGCATGTTTTTTCTCAAATCTTTCTTCAATTTCTCTCAAAGACATAAATCTAGAGTTTTTTACGACATCATTAATTTTCAAAAGGCCTACATCGAACCATTTAAAAAACAAAAACATTTTTGTTATGATCTGTTATATTTCAGTTAAACCATATGTTTTCATTTCTAACATCAGTATATTGTAAATCAATTGGCGTCTTACTTTCTACTATCTCTTTAAAGTAAAAACAAGTATATACCATATTCTTGTAATATTGGGGCATTTGTATATTCTTTAAACAAAGCTTTATATAATCTTTTTTACATTTACTATTTAACACATATTGTAAATTGACCACTTTTTTGAAGAAACTATCAATTATCTTTTTCCACTTTGAGTTTTCGTGGGAGAAGTAGTGCAATATCCACTATAATATAAAACTTTGTAACAGATCATTCAAATCAACCATTTTTAATCCTCCATACTCATAACTCATACAAACCACTTTTATTTTATTTTTTTATTTTTTCCATTCCACAAAAATGTATAAAGTAAAGAATTAATGAGTTTCATTACATTTTCCGGCATGGAAATCATTTGAGCATTGGATATAATTTGAGAAACAAGAAATTATTTGATTATAGTTATTTTACCAGAAAAAGTTAAGCGCCTCGCTTTCCATAGACGTACTATATTTTCAATCTTTGATATTTTGAGTTTCCAATTATAAAGATTCATTAGGTTTTGTTCATTTTTCCCAAAATGAACACCTAATATTTTAACATCAGAATAGGTCCATGGAATGCCATAAATGTTTTCACCAATGGTGTCTCCATTAATGTTAACTATGGAACTCTTTGATTTATTCAGCTCTAAGCCAGAAAAGCTTACACTACTATGCGACACATGTATAAATACAACACTCAAAATAAACATGAAACATCTAAAGGAGCCGGGGAAAATAAACTAAGTGACTCTTACAATGTAAATCTTGACTGTCCCTAAAAGAGTAAGACAGAAAAAACTTGCCGAACCTGAGAACACTAAAACACGGTAACTAAAAAATACGAACACGCCAACAAGGCATACTCTATATTATATGTAGCAGGCTCCTATCCACTCTGAGCAAAATACCAATCAAAAACATGGCATATGGAATCAGGGACGAGATACCTTGTACCGAATGACCCCATCTCAACTGTCAGTAGATACCCTGTACAAGTCGTATAATACATATACTAAATGTAAACATGATATGAGGCATGACATGTCATATAATTTACCAAATAAAAATGTGTGCTGTTTCACCTGTATAACACCTGGCATCAATACTCAAGGAGCCATCATGGCTCCTTGAGTATTCATTGCAGCATTAATTAGCATTTTTGACATACATGTATTATCATGCATGATGCATGATAATACATGTATGTCAAAAATGCTAATTAATGCTGCAAAATTATCCAAACTTTATCATCACACACCATTATCCTTGATAACTAGACCCAAAAGCCTTGCTGATGTTATCTCAGAATGATGTCTTGAGTATAATTTAACACAAGCAATATCGTGAAGTGAAAACCAAAAACAATATGAACCCTCGCTGGCTACCATATAATACAATTCTGTACCACTTAGAGTCTCTTTCCAAAGCCATTGCCATCTCCGTATCCGCCGCTACCACCTACACCGTAACCGCCACCGCCTCCTGGTCCGCCACTGTAACCTTCACCACCTTGGTAGCCTCCGCCTGCTCCCGGCCCCCCACTCAGTGTTATTTAGGGTACGCATATGCTCGTACCCTCTTTTTGAAAGCACCCCCTATCTGAGGACTGCCAACATTTCCGAACCCCCCTTTCGCGGGCTTTTCGCGAGCTTTTCCTGCCTTGGAGACCCCCCTAAATCAGGAAAAATGCTCAATGTACCCCCCTAAATTCGGAATAATATCTCAGGAGTCCAAAGAAATGAGAGAAAAAAAGAAAAACACCCCCTTTTTAAAGAAATCTCCGGTTGAAAAGTCAAATACACCCCTTTTTTTACAATCCTCGGGCCGGACTTTGTCGCACGAAAAGTACCCCTTTACCGGACATTTTGGCAACACGCATGCGGTCATTCCGACCTCTGAGTGGGGGGGGGGGGGGGCCGGGCGCCTGCTCCACCCCCACTGTATACGGACCACCGTTATTACTTGGATAAGGCCCTTGGTTGCGCCCTCCTCCTCCACCACCGCTGCCGCCGCCACCTCCTCTCACTGGTCCATACTCTGATATTCTGACATCCAGGGTCCAGGCATTGACTCTAGACTAATTGGAACCAAAGCCACTGAAATTGTCATGTCATAATTTTGATCAATGATCCACCTTGAAAATGTCACACCGAAACAGGTTCACACAGAGTCGTGATTTGTGAATACACCCGCACTGTTAATACAATTGCAATTCATATCAGTCCAAGGTCACATTGCAGTCAGTGACCGATCAATACGCCGTACAATACTCCATAGACTTACGTGTCTAAGCTCAAGTCAATACTACACGGATGTTCCAATGTTTGGTCCGGTTTCATTCCTACGTCATCAGCACCGGGTTCTCCACCATTTGTGGCGAGGTACCCTTTCATTCTTCTTTAATAGTTCACAACATAGATCTTAGCACGAAATGTCACAATTCAGAAACTTTATGGTAGTTGGTACGTCAAGCCTTGCCACGGATAGAAGAACAGCTCTCTCTCTTCTTGGCCGTGGCTGGCTCACTTTATTTTCTGATCGCATACTGTAGATCGTAACAGTAAACACAAACATCGTAGCCCGTACCCTCCTACGATGCCCCCAAAATCGCACGAAAAATCGTAGACCAATTTATCGTACGGCGCCTGGGGCAAACGCAATCCTCGTCTTTCTCAATTGTTACTCTTTTATTTCACTTGTCATCCCTCTGAATTTATTATTCATTCATCCTGTCGCTTTCTCTTTTCTCCTGTTTCTCTTTTTTTCTTTCTTTCTTTCTTCATTTTTTCCTTCTTTCTATCTTTATAATATTTCTTTCTCTTTTCTTACTCTCCCTTCTCCTAATTCTTACTCCCTCTTTTTATTCATGTTCTCCTTCCCTTTCTTGCCCAAAGAGGCGGCACATTTGCCAATAACTCCCATAACCCCTCCCCTTCCTCTTGCAACGCCCCTGAGAGTACGGGGTCGTCCCAGGAGACCCAGAGCCCACGGGTATGAGGCCCAAGAGACAAATATACCACGAAACTGACAAAACAATAAATACATAAGGCATATAGCAAGAATGTCAGTTTTGTGAACCCTCTGAAAATAGAAATGTGTGGTAAAAGAATAGACCGGTCCAGCTTTAATACTTATTATAAAATAATTCGATATATAAACATAATTCGTGATTCAAGACGGATTGAAATTATTGACTTAGCGTCTTGGGAAGTGACTGCATGACTGGACTTTCCTTCACCCTGTCCATCTCTCTTCCTCAATATCTGTTTCAACAAGTTATTTAATTAACAGGAAAATATATACCAAAGATTTTCAATATCGATTTGGAGAGAAAGTTTTCCTGACTGATCCATACAGTCTTTTCAACGATAACAGCAGCGTTGAGTGCGTTTCTAGGCCTTTACTTCGTGGCAAAACTGAGGCAAATCGTCGGAATTCATGTATTTCAACGAGAAAACAAAAATCATCCCCCAAATCCTTGCGAAGGGGTTGATATATCATTTGAGTCAAATAAGACATTTGGTGTTATATATGCTTGTATCATTCCAGGTATCTACAATAAGAAGATCTCGGCATCATTGACTGTTGAGCGATGTCGCGAGAAGTTGGAGAATAAGTACCGAAAACATTTGTGCAAAATTCAAATGAAACCGTGGGATAAAAGTGATTATGCTGAGTTCAAAAATATGCACACGGTTGTCACACTGGTGAAGAAGGACGCTAGTGGACAAAACATGAACAAGAAGGAAATACTCAAGGGTTCTGTTGCTGAAATATTTTCAACGAAAGTAAACGGAGAACTGCCAGATCGAATCCTCATTTCGGCACCCGCTGGAAGAGGGAAGACTACGGCTGTCGCTAAGATGGCTTACGACTGGGTTCACAGAGAAAAGGGGTCAGCATTAGAACACCTGCCACTTCTGTTTGTTGTGAAATTCCGAAACACAAGTCAGCTTACATCGATCGGAGAAGCTATCAAAACCCAGCTTTTGAGTGATGTAGATGATCTTACACCAGAGGGTCTCGAGAGTTTCATTAGAGAGAATCAGAGAATCTGTCACATCATACTAGACGGGCTAGATGAGTATGCGGGTATCTCTTCTTCAAAACGAAGCTCAGAGAGCAATATTGTCAATGTCATTCGCTGTGAGGAATTTCCAGAGTGTCGAGTCCTTGTAACAACACGTCCTCACCTAGAAAACTTCTTCAATGATGATGATCTCCCAAGGGTATACACAAAAATGTGGATCGAAGGATTCTCACAAAAGAGCTCACGTGAGTACATCGACAAGTTCTTTGCTTCGACTTCGAATAATTATAACAGACATGGTCATGGTCTGAAGGTTTACCTTGATGAACAACCACTCATCAATGAACTTGTTAAAACACCTCTATTCTGTCTCATGGTCTGTCATTTGTGGAGCGAGGGGCTTTTAAACACTGAAACTACCACTCAAACAGATTTAATAGACAGCGTGAATGTATTTCTGATGCAACATGCCAATGCCCGATCAAAATCAAAAGACGAAATAACAGAGGAAGAACTTACTGAAATCATTCATAAACTGGGTAAGGTTGCTCTAGCTGGTCTAGTCGACGACTCTAAAAAATTGGTGTTTACGCCTTACGATTTTCGAAGAGTTCCTGCTATCCTTGATAGGGCATGCGAGCTTGGGTTGCTATCCAACATTACGATTCCAAAGACAAGGCTCCCACGATCCAACAAGACCACTTTCACTACCATTGAATTTTATCACAAGCTCGCTCAGGAACACTCGGCTGGGAAATACCTCGCTGCTAAAACGAAAAAAATTATGTTACGACTGAAGATTTCTAAGTTAGACAGACTGCTGCGAAACATGAAAGCAAACTTCGGGGATTATGAGAATCTCATCCGATTTGCTGCTGGCACAGATAACAGCATTTGCATACGAATAATGGAGGCGCTCCTTTCCAACAGCTTTATGGATGAGAGCGAGCGATATCGAATTCTCCTTGACTGCTCATCAGAGACCAAGGGTACTGAAGGAAATGTGTCTTCGTTTGTTCAAAGATGTGTAACTGCACAGAGTATTGTTCTAAAGTCACCAACTGTCTACACCGTCGTTGGGATGCAAAATCTTCCAATGGAACTAAAAGACAAGGTATGCACATTTTCATTTCACAAAATATGTTTACAATAATAATGTAATAAAGATTGATTTAGTTTCCATCACTCCGCTATAACTATAAGTCAAAGGGGTAAGATTTTTGTATTACATCATTGCTTAAAATTGACGGCATCTTATTAAATAATAATGCATGACAAAATGATCAAGACGTATGATTCATTATTAAAATCATTCCACGTTTGCCCAATTACGGCTTTAACCAAGGTACCGCATTCAAGAAACGAGAAAAATAATGCTATAAATAATACTAGATCCTAGATCCTATACCGTGTGAGTCAAACAAAAAAGTTTACTTCTAGAAAATTCTAGAAAATCTATAAACAGTAAATTATTGTTCATTTTATTAAAGAGTGTTTTATCCCAAATAATTTGGTATCATTTTTGTGTAGTATGTGTTCACGCTTGGGTGAATAGGTGGCATTGTTTGCAGAGTGCAAAAGTCGACTTAAGCCAAAGTGATTCCCACAGCATGTAATATGTTGGGATTAGCGGTGTTAGAGAATAAATTGAATGTATCAAATGGAATGCATTTCATATGCTTTTTGCAGAAGCAAAGTCACACACGCACACACACACGCGCACAAATGTTCGTTGATGTTTGATACTCGATATTTAATTTTTATGGCATGATTAATTTTGTTAGGGATGTTATTTGGATCTGCAAAAATCGATTTAATACCCAAATCCCAATTGTTTTATTTAAACATCAGATAAGCAACTTTGGCGCAAGTCTATTTTTGCACTCTCGCAAACAATGCCTCGTGTTCATTCAAGCGTGATCACATACCACACAAAATTGATACCAAATGATTTTGGATAAAACACTCTTCCTTAAAATGTATAATAATTTACTGTTCATAGATGATCTTAAAAAATAATTAGCAATTTTATAGGTGTTACTTTTTTTGACTCACACTGTATAGGAAAAATGATGAGACTCGGTAAATATAATGCAAGTAGCCTATGTTAAATAAAGAATCTGTAAATTTAACATTGGAGAAAATAAATCTATAACTTATGAATGTAAAGTAGTAGGGAAGGGAGCTACAATTACTTTAGCGAATAATATTCTCAGATAAGATCAGGCCGTAGTCTCGTTTGATAATGATTACCACCCAAACTGGAAATTAGATAGTTCAGACTCTGGTCGATTTAATTGTAAATAAATTGCACCTCCGCCGCGCCGTCTCTCCCTACGTGCTGCAAGCCGAAGGTGACGTGATATTTGGATTTCTAAGCCCGGCGAAAAGGCAGGGTGTAGTAGTTCGTTGATAACGCCATCTTGGGCGGCTCGAAGTACATGTAGAAAATATTATAGAGATGAAACATAAGAACCGCCCAGATTCTGGACTCAAAGATGAAATAGATATCTTCATGAATTTATCGATGTTCTGACTATTTGTCTATATATCTTTCTCTCTTCACCCCTCCCTCCATTTCTATCTGAACGCCAGGTTCGGACAGTAAAGTTCGAGAGGTCTACTCTGACTACCGACGTGACGAGTGGACTATGGTCCTGCCTCAAAGCCTTTCGGATGCTAGATACCCTCATCATCTCAGACTCCTCTCTCAGTTTCCCTCCATCTCCTCCTGAGCTTCCATCCGTCATAAAGTTATCAGCTCATAGAGTGACGTCACAAAGCTACGAAGAAGTGCTCTCGTCGATACCTGGAGTGAGAGATATCGATGTCTCTATCGACGTTGCAGAGACGAGCCACACTTCTCAGATAACCACCGCCTCCAGACCTATGGGCCAGACCAGGGCTGGGGATGAACAGTCTTTTGTTCATATAAGACTTCACGCCTGGTCTACACTCACAACAAACAGGGAGATCGATTCAGGAGAGTCTATTGGAGGGCTTAGTCTTCTATTTGGAGACCCAACCGGGAACCAACAGCGGCTGCATGTGTCCGGGGTCAAGGGCAGAGACGAAAACGATTTGGTCGACCTGTTTGTCAAGACTGAACAACTAACGTCTTTGAATTCGAGGTACTTAGAATTAGATCAAGATCTTAATTCAAGTACAGATATTTGTTTTCAATCCGCTTTTTAAGACGACATGAACACAAACCTTATTAAAATGTATTACTATTGATGTTTTTATTATTATTGCCATCATTATCACTTTTGAAACATGATTATTATCATTATTGTTATTGTTAGTATTGTTGTTTAATTAATTATCCAGATTACCTATGTGCAGATGGGGTGTACAGTTCACATTATTCTTTATTAACGTAAAATAATTTCCCAATAATTGATTTAACCATATTCTAACCATCATTCCTTTTTCAAATATTTGTAGGAGCGGAGGTGGTTGTCAAAACGACAGAGACGCCGTCCAGGTGGGTAAACTTTTGAAACAAAATCGTTTTTTTTAAAGGAGATAATTGAATAATTTACCTGTATTTTAATTTCAGTGGTGCATTTAGGCCTATTAAATTTAAACTTCACTGATGTGGAATCTCCCTACATTTAGTGTTAAATATTTATCTCGATGCGTATGGAAGTAACAAGTTCATCTGTTTGCATTTCATTGCAGCATGCTAGGCTTGAGATACAGCAGTGCAAGCTATCTGCTGAGATGACCAAGAAGTTGTGGTCCTGCCTCAAATCCTTCACCTCGCTGAACCAGCTTACCTTTGCAGATTCCTCTCTTAGTTTCCCTCCATCTCCTCCTGAGCTTCTATCCGTCACAAAGCTATTAGCCGAGAGAGTGACACCACAAAGCTATGAAGGTCTGCTCTCATCGCTCCCTGGCTTGAGAGATATCGAAATCACTATCGATGATGCAGAGAGAGACATAGCTCAGATCACGGCTTGTCTTCGTCGGACCGGAGGACAGCAGATCATGCACATCAATCTTAGAGCCCCGTCATCACTCCCATCAGAGAAGGACAGTGTATCAATAGAGACGATGAAAGGACTAGGTTGTCTGATTACAGACCAAACCAAGAACCTAGATTGGCTGCATCTGACCGGAGTGAAGTGCACAGACGAGGACGACTTGGTTCACCTCATCGAGTGCTGCAGAAAAGTGAAGTCGATGTCATACGTGTGGTAGGTTCTTGTTCAATTCTTGTATAAAATAGATTACAATCCTATGAGATGATTCTATTCAGTTAGTCTGCAGTGGTAAAGCATACTGATACAAATGCGTGAAGGGATGCAAAGGATAAAAGGTGGGTGTATTTTCCAGGTTTTGACCGAAAGTTAGGATGGGTTTGGTTTGATTATCGCTCTCATTCTCAATTGTTATTTTAGAATTGTTAATAACGCTATACACTAGCAATGAATAGAGTGTGAATGCCTGTATTGAAAATGTATATGCAGTTGCATTTATCAATTATTAACCGTCGGAATTAGCATTTAACCTTTCTGTTGTTGTCGGGTGCATCGTCTAAATAACGTCATGTCAACAGTGGCAGTTTCAACAGGTGTCAACCCCCCCCCCCCCCCGATCGTCAGCTACAAGTCTACGACAAGAGTTTGTGCATTTTCAATGCTTAGAAAATGCAAAGGCTGAGGAAACGACTCATATTCGCAGGGAATTTTTTGAACACCCAACGCACCTTACCTCCATCACTCTGTTTTCTGAACATAGGTTAGACAACTGTGGAACTAAAGAGGGCGGCAGACTGGAATCTCATCTCATAGTTCTTACTAACACACCACTCGGGTATCTCTGTGTTATTGTTGTTCATGTAAGTATTGCTCCACGTTGTGTGCACTGTGCACTTTCACTATTTTGATTGTTAATGTCTATAACAACTATGACGCCAATGTAGTTCTATATTATCGTTTACAGTATTTCATTAACAATTAATTTCCATTGTTCGGCCCATTTTACGTTTCCTTTGTGTTACTGTTACTATTTCTGCATCATAAGTTTTTTCAAACTGTTTCTTTACATTTTAATTCACGTATTCAGCTCTTTTGAATAGGCCTGACCCTCTGTCTTAATTGTTGTGCACCCATTTCCTACACATCAAATGATCAACATAACATCGAAACGTTGCTAAATAACATAATTCTTCTTTTGATTATTGTTCCTTCTGGTCGAATTTGCGCTGCAATATATTTCTTATCAATTCAAATATTTCTTTCTTTGTTTTCGATGCTATGATTTTTATTATGATTTATTATCTTTATTTCTCGCACGCAATTTAGAAATATTATGTTCTTAACCACTTCATTATTTGGCCCTTCATAATTTTAGTTTTTTGCCTGCTATCGTTATTACATGAGCCGATGCCCTTGTTTTTATTTTGTGGATTTTTTTTTTTTTTTTTAATCAGTGCTTAGTCCTATATGCTACAGGAGTAAGGCCCTGCGTTTCCCTATAAAACAAGTTTGCAATAAAACATTAGATATGTGTTCATTTCCAAATATCCTAATGAAATAAGACATTTGAATATATTAATTCGCTAATTTGTTAATGTAAATGTATTTGTTAGCATATTTTTCTTTTTTTCCAGCATGATTTTATTGTGGTTTATGCCTTTTTTGTTTGTTGATCTTAATATGATGTAATATGTCTTCTTCTTCAGGATGGTGGAATACTGGAAGGAGAGTCGTATCACATTTCTCACATTGGTTAAGTGCCAGTGATGAATACAAACTACCGGTCAATCTGACATGTACCATGGCCTTATACCTGACATACATCACTATGTTCGTTGACGGACCTCATACGTCATTTCTTACATTGGTTAAGTTACACTGATGACTATGCACACCCGGTCAAGTGGATATACGTCACTATGTTTAAATAATCATTAGGAACCAGAGCATATAACACTAAGTTCCCATAGGACATATATTTATTCAGATGGTCATATCTCAGCCAATACCTAACATATTCAATTGGTTTTCAACATTTGGACATTATCCTTTATGCTCTTTCGGAAAATGAAGAAAACATTGAAAAATTCTAAACGAAAACACACATTTTGTCTTGTCCTCATCGAAGTAAATCGCAAAAATGAACGCGCGCTTGTTTTCTCAGCTTCCGCTTTTATTTTCTCAGATAAGTCCAAAATAAAAAGTGTTATTATGTCTGTTTTCGTTGTTATCACTTCGTTCCATAACCATGATTAATGCAGTTAAGAATAGTTTACACTTGTATTAACATAATGAAAAAACTACAAACTTTGCGTTTTTATATAAAATTATTTAAATTTGCTGATATCCTTTACTTTAGATCAATAGGTAAACAAGACATATTATTATTTAGTATCATTATTATTAAGAAGAAAAAGGAGAACAAGAAAAAGAAAAAGAAAGGACAAAGAAATAAAAGGTTGTAGCAGTGGAAGAATGAAATGTCTCATTAATACAAAGAGAGATTAATGGTTCTTTTAGTGCAATGTTTCAGTTACTTTGTTTACCTTTGTTTAGTATTTGCCAAATAGGATTCTCCTCGAACGGAAAGAAGTTATTGTTTGGCCTTATTTTATAATTAGTCATGTTTATACAACTCACTCCCAGATCCTAATCAAATGATTGGTCATGCGCGGTCACATGTGATTCATTTACTGAGCCTATTGCACTCGTTTTAATGAAAAGTAGTGCAATATTTTCAAGGACTATTGAACTCGTTTTCAGAGCGCAGTACTGCGCGTAGAGGTTTGAGCGCAGCACTATGCGTAAATGGGTATAGAGGTAATAAGTGCGCTTGCTGAATCTATAGCTATGTGTGCGCACTAAATTAAGCCTTATTAAACTTGAGATTTATTTGTCAGCCATATACTGTCACGAAACAATCTTGAATTAATTCTTTTTACATCAAATAGCAACGATCTAGGAGTTTCGTTGTATAAAACAAATGATGCATGTTTTTATTCGTTCATTATACGATCTATCCGCCCTCGTTAATGCTGTGTGTATCTATAGCACTCAGCCTAACGGCTTCGTGCCATAGATACACACAGCCTCAACTCGAGTGCGGATAGATCGTATAATGAACTCATGCGCATGCATCATTTGTATAATATTCGTTTTTTCGGATCATTCATCGTATTCTCATATTTCGATAAAGTGGAACCTACTGACAGTACTCAAAATCACTTAATTCTTAAACAATTCAGCAATACTTGTTGCCATAAATATGTATGTTAGACACAAGTCATGTTCGCTAGTTATATCTATAATATAGGTGTATATTAACGCATGTATATTTTATAGGAATCTATGATAGTTCAATGAACAATAACATTCTTGCAAGTTTCATGCTAACATTATGAGATTGTTTATTATGCAAGATTGACAAGTACACATATTTTCGGAAGGCATCTTCCTTCTTCAAGTTAAAAACAGAGAGTATAATGTACAGTTTATTAAGCAGTACAAACAGTATGATGAACAATATATATATATGTAATTGATATAATTGTAATAATTTTTAGGGTGGATTGAGACGATAGTATAACACTATAATTATGAAATACACCCTTGAAGAGTTTAGGAATGCATATAAGTTCTTTCTTCGTTTTGTAATATTTCGAATAACTGCATTGTAACTATGTTTACACGCCTGTATATTTTATAAAAATACGAATACCTGCAGATGTTTATTAGTATATTAGACACAAGTAATGTTTGCTGGTTATTCTTATAATTTAGGTTTATATTAACGCATGTATATTTTGTATCATTGAATCTATAATAGTTTAATGAACAATAAAATTCTTGCGAGTTTCATGGTAATATTATCAAACTGTTATTATTTAAGTATGACAAGTACACAGATTTTTGGAAGGCAACTTCATTCTTCAAGTTATAAACAAACAGTATAATGGAGAGTTTGATAAGCAGTACAAACAGTATGATGAACAGTATATATTATGTAATTGATATAATTGTGATAAATTTTTGTGTGGATTGCGACGATAATGAAATATACCCTTCAAGAGGCATCTGGGCTAAATTGGATCCGGGGACAACTTGGCCCTGCTTCAAAAAGGGTCAATTTCTTGTCATTTTACCCTTACCCTAACTATAACCCTAACCCTAAACCTAATCCAAATCCCTGAACAGTTTAGGAATGCTTACACGTTCCCTTTTTTCGTTTTTTAATATTTTGAATGACTGCATTGTAAATACGTATACACGCCTGAATATTTGATCAAAAATATGAATACCCCAGGATAATTAAATATCTTGTTTCTCACTCCGTGCCTTATATGTGTTTAATTGGCTTGAAATATAATTGTAAGAATAAAGAATTTGTTGTTGTTGTCATGGATATATGTAGCGGAAATCAACACAAGTGGTAACTGAGGGGAATACAAGTCCAGCAGGTAAATTTATTCTCTAATCAGAAGGTGTGAAAATTGAGTTGAATGGAATCGAATTTATAAAGAATAAATTGAAGTTATACAAATCAAAACATGAGATTCTCATGTTTGTTTTTATTTGAAGTCAAATAATCCCCCAAACACACACTCTTCCTGTAATTATAGTAGGCATAGCTTCAAACCCATTCTCAAGATAAGTAATGCACACAATGCATTGGATTGGATTCCGCTATAATGAGAGTGGATTTAAGCCCCAAACGACGCTGTCCCTCCTAACTCATAAAAAAGTGACCCATTAGATACCATCGATCGGTACCACATTTAGTCTCATCAGCACACGTTACTGATATAGATATATTGACTGCTATGAGATGCATAGCTGTTTATATAGGCTTAAGGGGACGTTGCATCCTGCTATGACCCCAATCCACACCCGGGCGGTCCCGAGAGCCACTCGGGACTTTTAGATTTGCACGACGAGAACGTGGACCTCTGCGTGTAACATCTTTTTAAGGCATTGTGGCGTCCTTGTAAGGCACTGGCGTGTCACACGTAGAGGTCCACGTTCTCGTCGTGTAAATCTAAAAGTCCCTAGTATAGAAACAGCTATGCTTCGGATATTAAAGCAGTCGATATATATTTTATATACAGAATTCAAATCAAAACCGAAATCTACAATGAATTCTTGCCTTATCCTTTTCTTGAGTAAAGATTGGTTAAGCATCACAGAAAATCTGAGACACTGTCTGTTAATCTTCGTCTGAAACTTGCCTGAATGTTACAACCATTGCACACACAGTGTATAGTATCCGCGCTACCAAGTGGCACGGAGAGGCTTTTTACACGTGAACCAATGGGCATCTCAGCAAAATTTAACCATGCGTCCCGTTACCCAACGGGGCAACGGGCATCTTTCTCATTAACTATTGACCTTTAGGCGGGCATGGTTATAATCACGTCTCCCGTTTCGACTAATCAGATGACTAGATTTATTCAACAGGCTATAGAGAGGTATATAAAGCATTCTTTTACCCTATAGAAGAGGGGAAAAGACCCATAAGTATACCATTCAGCCAGGGTGCCGAACGATACCTCTCCTATGGGAAGGTGAGTACCAGTAAATTATTTTGATCTTGAACTTCCATAACATAAATATCTGTATGGGGATAATCGCACCCATCATAATTACAACCCAACATCAAAATAATTACATGGGGCCATGCGTGCATTGATCAAGATGACAGGTAATGATAGCACGTGGGTTGACACATCCACGATTTTTAATAATTTACTGATAATTGGGTGCCTGATATAAACCATGTACAATTTAACAGATAAATGAATATATAGGTCTACAGTCTACACAATGACACTTGTATCATGTATGGTGATTGCCCTATATAAAGATAAGAATGCTTCATTTGTTATTTACACAAATACAGTACACATCCTACTCACTCAACGACTGAAATGTATTATATGAATTTTTTTAAATGCAGTTCAACAACAATAACAACAACCGAAACAAAAAATGGGCAAGGCTTGGAACAAAATATTGTTCTTTTTACAGCGGTGTGTAAAGGAAAAAAATGTCATGAATGCAAATGTGTTTGTGTCCTAAATAGGGGAATGGATAAAGAATTGCACAGACATAAAGATATCATTCAATTAGTAAACATTGGTTTTAATACAACTCTATGACCGTTAAAACTTACATGTGTGATATGTGTACATATAGATATATACACGTTGAGTTATCAGGTTATGGCAAGTTATCAATCTGGATCTCGATTCCGGAAATTGTGGTAAAAGCAGAAATGAATGTTATCACAGATGTACAATCAATAATATTGATGACTCTTTCATTGTGAAGGGATGAGTTGTTCTAGCGCCACCTTGTGACTGCTTTAGTAATAAACCACATGAATACATGTGCAGTCGATACTCAGTAGCCAACATGTTACTAGTGATTTTCTTATCATATCTAAGATATCACAGCTATGCATTTTTGAGAATTGTAATCACTAGACTTAAAAAAAAATTCAAGTTGTCTGCACCGGGTATGTGACTGTAATGTAGTGGTGGACACATTTCCCATTTGTTCAAACACTAAAAGAATATGAAAACTTCTTTAAAAATGAAGTACTCAGAGGAACTTTTTCTTTTCTATGATGCATTTTTAGTAGTGCCCCAAGGAAGAAGGCATATATGGGAGAAAAAAGATAAGAAATAAAATTGGAGGGATGACGTTATAAAGAAACTGTATCCAGAGTGTGGAGGGGGGGGGGGGGCTAACAAAAACATCTATACACAGATTTAGGCCAAATACGTTTTAGTGCTTTTGTTGTGTGCTAGCCCAACAAAATAGTATTCGCCACATTAGGCCCAACTCGATCGGGGTTGGCCAAACTGTCCTATATTCAACGGCACTAAAACGAGATTGTTGTTGGGCGCCCTCTTTCTATGTTCCTCGATTTAGAAAGATCAGGCTACGATTAGATTTTCGAAAAAAGATAATACTGGTGTCCAGGCACCACAAAACCATGGAAATATT